GTGTTAATGTTAATAATATAATTGTTCGTTGATTATTTTCAGTACGTTTTATTAAAAATACTTTATATGTACCATGTATAGGTGATAAACGTATATGTTTTATTTGTTTTAATAAATAAGAAATTTTTCGATTATTATTACCACGTGATTCAGGTTGAATAATTATTATATAGATTAATGCAGCTATATTTAAACCTAAATTAATTGATATGGGTAATGTATACCCATGATGTTGTAACCAAAAGCCAATACCTAATAAAGGAAATATACGCGTTAGAGCAACTGCTGCTTCTTCTAATAACATAGCACGTGATCGTTGATTTTCTGTTGTACAATCAGTTATATAAGCAATAGCTCCTAATAGAAGTACACTATTTGAACCAAATAAACCATCAATTACATTTGATATAATAAGCCAAATATCACTGAGATTTAACTGTACAAGTAATAATATTATAGTAAATCGAATGATTCTTCCAATACATGGCAAAATTAAAAGAGGTTTTCGTCCAATACGATCAGAATTAGCACCAAGAATTATATATGTTAAAACAGCTGGTAATGCTCCAACACCAGCCATTATTATATTTAAATGACTAACTGATTTTTGTACTTCCGTAGATAATTGAACGATTTGTGAATCATTTTGAAGATCTTCTGCATTACAAGCTGTTTCACTTGCTGGTGAACTTGTATTAACAAGACCATATTCTAATTGATAACGTCGAATCATAAGATCATTAAGAAGAATTGGATCAGTTGTTGCTGTTGTCATAGAAATAATAATAATAGGAAGAACAATCCACCAACGAAATAATATTTGTCTTTGTTCTTGAGAAATATTGATTTTATTTGATTTTATTGAGGAAATATTTGCTAATTCCATTTTCTTTTTAGTCTTATAAATCACATATATGTCTTTCTTTTTTTGTTTTTATTTATGTAGATATATATTTTTTTTTCCTGTATATTGGCAAATCGTGATTTCGTGTAATTTGATTTTTTTTTTTCTTTAATGTACCTTTTCGCAAGTAATAATCAAGTGTAATTAGAGTTCTTTTTTTAAAGAATTATCCCGATACATTTATTCGTTTTCTATTCAATAGAAATAAATAAGTCATATCAAGGTCGTTTGGTATTTCTTTTTTATGAGATTCATTGCATAAATACTTAATTCGATTGGTCCAATGTTTTTTTTTTTTATATCAGAAGCAAAAAACAATCAATATATATTCTGACATCCATAATCTGTTCCCCTCGAGTGTTAGCATGTTCTACTAATCGTCAAATGCAATCAATACTTATTCAGTGGATTTTGTTTTTCTCATATTCACTTTCCTGATATTAATTATTATTCTTGATAAATACCCATCGGTTATGGTTTTTTTTTTTTCTCTGATAATAATTTTTTTTTCTTCCATCATTTCAGCTGATCACATTAGACAGGAGACACAAGAAGAGAAAAGGCAACATCAGATCTTCCTGACATTCTTCTATAGATATAATCAATGTTAATGCGTGATCAATTATCGTTTTGCTGTTCTCCAGTAGTATATTTTTGTTTTTACGTATATATGGACAAGTAATAGTCATACAACTGACAATTGTAAACAATCCATAGAGTGTCAAGAATTGTATAATAACTCGTCTAAGTGGAGCCATATTTGTATTTTACTTATATTATAGTAATTTATTTTTCATGAAAATATCAAGTATGTTATAGAACAATGATATTTATTAAACAGAAAAAAATATAACTATTAATTGATATGGATTATCATGAACATGAAATATCAACAATAAGAACTAATCAACCATTAAAGCAACAACAACAACAACCACAAAAGAATTTCTCTATATTCAAGTGTTTTGCCGATTGTTTCGTATCGTATGAAAGTGAGTTTTATTAAATGAAACAGAGTAAAAATTATAAAATTACGAATATTCTTAGTAGTTACTAAACTGAAATATATGATTAACTTGTAGTTATGAGATACGAAATAATGCATGCAATATAAAAGAAATCTTTATCAAAATAAATAACTTCGACATTTTGACGATTAACAAAAGGTCATAGATATTCTTTTGTATTATTATATCTTTATAGAATCTAATAATACGATCTTATATGTTACAAACATTGTAAACGATTTTTATGCTTTCATTTTTTTTTTGCATTTAAGTTTGATTATAAAAAATATTGAGTTTTTTTAAATTATCATGTATACCAAAGATAGAATCGATTTATTTTTTTTTTTTTGATGGAATCTAAATAGTGCAAGCGTTATTTAATAATTTCATTTTTATTAACTTTTAAAAATAACTATACTGAATTAAAAAAATAAAAGTTTACAGTTTTCAAAGATTTAAAAACAAAAAGACGTTGTTGTTTTTTTCATGTGTTTTCATAGAAAAAGAAAAACGAAAGATGCTAAATTATATGAGTTTCAACAATCAATATTATATTGAATAAACTTTGTTAGCATCCAGAAAATATGATGCCGATACACTTTCACTATCGTTTTAGAATATGTTGAATAAAACTTTGATAAGTATAATTAGAGATCGACAGGATCAGTATCTAGTTCAAATCTGAAGAAATATTTGAACATCTTATGTAACATGATTTGTTTATTCTAACATTTTTGTTTTGCTCATTTGATTGACAACTTAAAATAAGTAATTGATCGATCCCTGGATATAAAACTATCAAAGTTATTTGTATTATTTATGATATAATTAATAATATTCACAAGCCATTTGCTTTGAAAGATTGAAGTTAATTGAATAGTTTTATGAATAATACTTTTAATTCAATGAAAATTTATGATTAATGAAAAACATTTGAACATTGTTCAAATTTGATGAAGTAGTAATAATAAAAGAAAAAAAAAAAAGGCAAGTTTTTGTACTGTTATTTGCTCTAAAGCAAAGAGTATATTTTACTTAATTTTTATAATTATATAGTAATTTAATCGAATTTGTTTTAATAAAAAATTGAAAAATCTCTATAGAAATTCTTGTTTTTTTTTTTTTTTTTTCTTGTCTGATTCGAACAGACGGAAATCATTACATCGAATCATAGAAAATGTCAAATATTGACAAATGACCTTTTAAGAAATTCTTTGATTGTATCCATATATATCTGTTTGTATTCATCTATCTCTCTGTTAAACATTACTAAATATAACATCTAGAAAAATCATACTAAAACTTCGAAGTAATTAAGTAATTTCAAAATCAATTTATTCTTTTTTATTTAGCTCTAAAAGTCGTACGTTTTGAAGCAAAATGGATAGGTTTAGTATCATTAATTGTCAAATTATCACTTGCTATTAGTTGTTTATATTTAATGTTTCAAAGAGATTCTTATCAAATATTTGATCGTTCACCAATATCAGCTGTAACAATTAAAGTAAAACAATCATCAATTTGTTCAAATAATATTTCATTAATACGTAATATTTTTACTTATAATTGTTCAAAATCTTTATATGATGTTAATGATTTTATAATACCATCAACAGAAAATTCAGCTGTATCAATAACAACACGAATGGTTGAAATTCAACATATATTAAAATATTGTAATGATACAATTATACAAAATTCTGAACAATATTCATCTTTATATAATTCATCCATACATCAATGTTCTCATAAAGCACGTTGTATTTTACCACCATTTTATCGTAGTGATGATGATGATGATGATAATGAATATGAAAATATTTTGAATAAAGAAAAATTATGTTGGTTTAAATTACTTCCAACATATGAAAGATTAAATTATCAAGCACTTGATTATATTATATTTATAAAACATTTTGTTGAATTTACACAATTAGGTCTTATTAGACATAATCTTGTACCAGATATAATAACAACTGATTATTTAAATACATGTGAATATGATCCATATAAACATCCATTATGTCCAAAATTTCGAATTTTAAAAATTTTACAAATGATTGAAATAAATCCATATGAATATGAATTAATGTTTTTATATGGTTCATTAATTGAAATTCGAATTACTTGGAAATGTAATCTTGATCGACATTTAAAATATTGTGAACCTGTTTATGAATTTCAACGTTTAGATATTAAACCATATGAAACAAATCCATATGATCCTGGTTCAAATTTTCTTACATCAAAACATTTTTTTCTACCTAATGATCATGAATTATATCGTATGCATACTCATATATATAAATTACATATTATAGTTTCTGTTAGTGGTGAAGCTGGTAGATTTGATCTATTTCAAACAACAACAAGTATTGGATCATTTATTGGTATATTTGGTACAGGATCAATTGTATGCGATTTAATTGCAACATTTCTTTCTAATTTTAAAAAAGTAAAATATGATCATTAGCTATTAATTGAATTCCAATGTATATTTATAGAATATTTCGTATTTCCTAAGGAAATATTTTTATTTTTTAGTTTTGTAATAATCAATATCTATGAATAACTCAGAATACAAATAAATTTCATGACTATTTTATAGACTTATTTTGTCTTTTTGTGTAAATAAAATTTTAAGTTTAATATAATCATTTGAGACTTTTTTTTTTCTTCTTATATTACATGATAATCGATTGATCTATATATTTGTAAAGGTTAACAGATTTAAGAAATAAGAAATATGAGTCAAAATACTGTCATATTTATCGTTAAAATAGTATCATTATTATTTGGTAATCGTACACATGAAAATATCATTATTATTAATGATTTTCTTTTTTTCTGTTTGTACGATTAATATAAAGTCTACATTTCTATGAATAACAATCGAAAACAAATATATATTTATAGTATATTCAAAAGAAATTTTTCGTTATGATTCATAATTGATTCCAGGGTTTATGTTTATATGTATACAATAAAACGTGTCCTACATTCTATTTTATCTATAACAATGTTAAGATTTCTTTTCAATAAAATTATATTAACATATCATACATATCTTTATTTTGAAATAAATAAATATGGGTTGTAAACATTCATCATTACGATCAAATTCATCAAAGATAAATATTAAAAATGAAGAAAAAATTATATTAAAAAATAAAAAATTTATTCAAGAAAATAATCATGAAAAATTAAATGATATAAAATTATCTAGTATATCAAATAAAATATCTTCTTTATCATTAAATTTTGAACAAATACTTAATGATCATAGTAAAAATTTAATAAAAAGATTTGAATTTAATTCAACTTGTCTTTTATTTGATGTTTCATTAACACATATACTTTTACTTAATAATAAAAAACTTTATTTAATTAATATAAATATAATGAATATTGATACATATATTTTATTAATTGATAATATAAATATTCAAGAAATAGTATGGTCAAAACAATTAAATAAATTTCTTATTCTTACAACTGATCAATTATATCAAACAGATATTGATCAATTACAATTAATACCTATTCATCAAATTCAGGTTAGATAAATCAAATAAATTTACAAAAAAAAAAAAAATTTTATTTTATTTTTTTAAATTTTCTTCATAGTTTATTAATGAAGGTCATCGTAAATCATATATGACAGTTAATGGAGATGATTTACTTATTAATCGTTCATTTGGATATGATCTACGTCGATATTCTCTTTTAAATTTTAATCTTCTACAATCACCTCATATATATAAAAATATTAAAGAAATATGTATAACTACAATAAGATTAAATTCAAATAAAATTTTAGCTCTTGCTATTTCAATTAATGATAAACAAATGATTGATTTAATACATTTAAATACTAATCAACTTATTCATCGAATTAAATTAGATTTTAATGAAAATATTTCATATCCAATTGATTTACATTGTCATGGATTATGGTTTGCTAAAACATGTATACCTTATATAAATATTGGTCATTGTTTAATAACATCTAATGGACAAATAATTAGATTAAAACTTTTTTCTAATCAAGATAATTTTATACGTTCACTACGAATGACTGATGATAATAAATGGTTATTAATTGGTAGACAATATGCATTAGAACTTTATTCATTATCAAAGTGATACATTTTTCTCTTAGTTAATTTATAGACTTTGCTTGTTTTGATTTATTTTGATCAAGCTTCTTTTTTTTTTTCTTTCGTTAAACAAGTAAGAACGAAAACATAAAAAAAAAAAACAAAGGTTTTGCTATTATCAGAAAAAAATGTTGGTAGAAAACTTTATTTGATATGATCATTCATATTTCATTATCAATAGAAATAATGTGATTTATTGAACAATATTAAGATTTTGACAAAATAAACTTTTTCATAAGTATCAAAAGAAAGGAAATGAATTTTTCAGAGAATGACATTGATGTATAGATTTCAGAAAATAAGCATTTCCAAAACTACTAACACATGAGAGAGGCTAATTTTGTGAGAAGCTTTCAAAATGGTTAATTTATTATGAAAAAAATTTTTAAAGAAATGATATAATACATTCAAAAAGTTCGGAGCAAATTACGACAATTTTTAAAATTTGTTTAACGTTAGTGCGTTTGAAACAATGATTGTGTACTGTGTAACCCGACACCTTGAAGAAAAAAAGAAGAATGCGTAAAAAGAAAATACTGTTGCTGTTTTTTTTTTTTTTCTTTGGCCATAAGATTATTTTTCTGTGTAACACATCTTGAATACAATTATTTCGCATTTCAATATGCATCCAATTCGACATGTTAAAGAAAAAATTGGTTCATGTGTTGAAGACATAGCAGTAACAGCACCACAAATAGTCAAAGATGTTTCAATAGCTGTTAGCGATCAAGTCAAGAATTTCAATGAGAAAGTTCTTGAACCAGAAGAACAACAATTAGCCGATGAACATGGTTATACACATGGTGGTAAAAGAGAAAAAATTGTTAAACATTTAATGGGAGTAGATAAATATGAAGTTGGTGCACGTTTTATCGATAAACATGTTGTACATCCAATGCGTACAAATCATGATAAGGATAATCCACCAGATTCCACAGCTACCTAGACGATAAATATTTATAACGAAGTAACAATACAAATGTGAAGTTGTATTTGCTTTTACGATTATAAAAATTGTGATTTGTATATAAATTTATTCTGTTATTTATTTATTTAAGCATAGTATTGTAAGTCAAAATTTTTTTTCCTAAATTCACATAATAAACTTTCGTATTTATTCGACGTTTATTCAAATAGCCATCAGTTGATTGCTTGATTGATAAGACTAATCATTTTTAACTTCCAAAAAAAAAAAAAAAACTAAAAGACAAAATATATATTGAATTTTGCTGTTTTTTATTATAAACAAATGAAGGAAATATATAAGTGTTAAATCATCGGAGTAGTGACATATCCGATTGTTATATCACAACATAGCTTGCATTCGAACATCAGAAGGATTGAAAGGTGTGGGGTTGAAGACAGATGGAAGTTAGACAGGTTGTAGTGTCAGACTGCTATAGCATCCTTATTTGAATTAAAAACAACACTTTAGCTAAAATTTTACTTCAATTCAGCATACGAGTTGCTAAACGAATTTGTGCTGGAACTGGTTTTAAACAGTTACTCAATATATACATTGCTTGAATCACCTCGTATTTAGTTCAAGTTTCTAACTAATTATAGTTCATATCTTTTTGAGATAAAGCATCAAGTTTAATCTTGATTTGATTCATACTCTTTATTTCAGCTCTACGATTAAAATAAAATTAGAAACCTTTATTAAATATGTAAAAACTACAGACAAAGCAAAAATCTCTTATTTAATTAAACTAGTTTCTCTTCTACCAAAGACACAAATGCATACTACAATGTATTATCGATTCATAGAAAATGAGCTTCACTTAATACACTACTAAATGTACACTTTCATGCACTAAATAAAATCCTGCTCGACACATATTAATACTAATGGTGGTTGAGTTTGACTCCAAATTAGTTTTACTTGTTTACTTTCAAATCGTCTATTTTGGTTGATGACTCCGTGTAACAATTTCCTGATGATGCTGCTGTACGCCGTTTTTCAATTTCCGTTTGAATCGCTTTTTCTTGGATAGATATAGGCAATCCTAGATTAAGGTTGATTACATAAGGAATGCACATTTTCGGCATTGATTCAAAGTCAATGAAGCACCGAATAAACATAGAATCATCACGCACGTAAGGATTATCTAAAGGCTGAATGATTGATAATGGTAAAAACTTGGGTATTCCTGAAGCTATATTCATAGCAGATTTGGGTCGTTGAAAACTATTCGATTTAATATCGGGACGAAATGAATCTATTATATGACGTTGACTTCCTGTTTGATCATACAAACAGAAAATTACTTTATAGTTAAATGGCCATGCTAATATTGCATCATAATCTCCTCTCATTAAAACAAAGAATAATGAAAGATGTGTACCTCTTGCTTGACCATCACCGTTCATATACAATCTCATACACATTTTGTAGCCTGTCGGTGAGGAATAGAAAGGTGGAGAATAGATACTGGTTTGCCGATCAGCAATACCATTGGCCAATTTTTCAGCCACATTCGAAATTTTCCAAATATATGATCCGTTATTTGATGATGTACTGGAATTATCCAATAACATCTGTTTCGTCGTTTCCATTTCAGCTTGCAAAACCTTGTTGTTCATATCAGTCACAGACAGCATTTGTGATGTTTCTTCTATTGACTTGTTAAGTTTTTCTATTTGTATTTTTTGTTCCACAATTTTACTAAGTACTTGTACAAAATTATTATGAATTTCTACATTATCATCATGTAAACATGAGACTCCCTCAGCTAAAATATTAATTGTGTTTAATATCTCTGAATAGTCATCTTTCTCCGATTCGCATTCACAATGATCACCAATTGGTTTAGTATGCAACTTTCGTACAAAGATTTCAATTGCTTTAAGTAGTTTTTCTTGATGAATTGGACTTGAATAGTGTTCAAGTAATTGGTTGTAGTGTATCTCTGCAGTACAACCATATTTGATTAAAGGGCATGCTATCAATTTGGCTTTTGTAGTGCATTCTCGTTTCGCAGAAGTATCGGTCAAAGTAGTCTAAAAAGATATAGAGAACCCCATGAAGATTAAAGAAACTTCTAGTTTCAATTAATGATTACACATCTTATTTTCTGTCAAGCTGTGTAATACGAAAATCTCTGGTTATTAAAATGTCTCGATTAGAGATTATGCGGTAAAAAGCTTTTTCATTCATGAATCTACCAGGTCCGGTAACTTCTTTTATGAAACACGATCTCAATGGCATTTTGAACTATACAGGATAAAAATTCACAGACCATATGTCAATAACGACTCGTTACAATATATAAAATACTTTCTTACTGTATTTCTGAAGGATTAAGTACCAGAAACAGAAATCTAGCCGAGTCGGACCTCTTAGGATATATATCGAGTTCAGTCGAGTCGAATCGAGTCGATTCAGACTCCAAGACTTCAACTTTTTAGGCACTGATGATAGATTTCAACAGTTAACTCTAGAGAGAATCCGATTCCATCCTCAGAACAGCGATCAATTTGAGGAAATGCGGGGACTTATTTATTTCTCATTGTCCGCTAGAATACACGCTACTTTTGCTGCTTCTGATCTGCAAACGTTCAGACTTCCATACGTCCACGAGTTCGACTAATGTAAATATGATACTACTTTCTTCGCTAATTTGTCTTCTACTTCGGTCATTATTGATTACACGCTGTTGCGGTTTGATTTCTTTAGTATTAATTGCCCTTTTTTGTCAAGTTGCTAGTTATTCTGATTAACTTTTATTCACAATTTGAGCTAGTTTTGGCAATTTTACGAAATGGCCAAATAATTGGAACAAAATAATTCCAGAGCTTATTTGTGAAAACGATCTATCTCAACAATCTACTCAATGGCGTAGCTGGCGAAATTTTTCAAGTTATAAGTTATTGTTACTACCAGTGGCGTAGCCAGAAATTTTTGAGTCATGGGCAATTCATTAGCCGAACTATTTTGAGTTACGGGCAGCTAAGAGCAACCGTTATGATTTCAAAAATATCTATGGGCAATAACTGTTCAAGCACTGCATGACTCAATACATCCATAGGCAATAACTTTTGGAGCTATGGGCAATTGCCAAATGGCCCTACCCCTGGCTACGCCACTGATTACTGCTAAAAATTTTCAAGTTAGTAGTTTCAGACAGGACATGTGGATAATAGTTAGTTCTTTTTGTAGCGACTACATGAAACAACATACACTCTTCTTAGTCACAGCTGAGTTATGACAACATATGTGACAGCTATGCTCTAATACGCAGTTATTTTCTCCTACAATGGCTCACATTTGTGGGTGTGGATGTGGGTGTCTCATTTTCAACATACAAACTGGAATCCACACCCACACCCACACCTACACTACACACCCACACCCACACCCACACCTACACTACACACCCACACCTACGCTACACACCCACACCCACACCTACACTACGCACCCACACCTACACTACACACCCACACCTACACTACACACCAACATCCACACCTACACTACACACCCACACCCACACCTACACTACACACCCACACCTACACTACACACCCACACCCACACCCACACCTACA